CTCCCGGGGACGGAGGGGAGGGAGGTGCGTCGGTGCGTGGCGGCCGTCGGAAGAGTCCCCGCCCCTGACCGGAGGGCTCCCTGGCCATCGGGCTTCGTGATTCCAGAATTGGGGATGGTGACCATTTAAGTAACGGTACCCCATTCTATACAGTTCCTTTTCATTCCGCTTGCGGACATCTAAAGTAGCTGTAGTTTTATCCAAGTTTTCAGACTTGATTTTAAACTTGTGCTGATGGGCGCGGGACCTCAACCTTTTTGTGGAAATCAAGTGGCAAAGGAAATGCAGTAACACTGGGTGTGGAGACGGCAACGATGACCTCCCAACAAGGCTGTCCTAAAAGTCAGTCCCACAGTTCCTGAAAGGAAGGGTCATTATCCCGGAATAGATGTCCGAACCAAGGCTGAAATTGGGGTAACTAACCGTGGTCATTATTTCTTATAATTTCTTGTACATGTTTATTACTTGTTCTTAATTGAATTTAATTTAAAAAAAAATTAGGAGGGTTAAAAAAAAAAGGAAAAGCTAAACAGAGGCCAGAGATGACTCTTTATTGCTTGATCTTTTTTAAGTTCAGGGCACAGCCAGCTTATTTTGTAATGTTTATTTTGGGAAGAAATAGAAGCGAGTTAGGGTTCCAAGCCACTTTCGGAATGATCAAACCAGGATACATCGCCGCCTGCTGGTAGCATAACTGTTCTGTCCTGAAGACAATTATTTTCCACATACTATAACTGGAAAGAGTTCCATCCATCAATATACAATAACCAAAATGCAAACTTTATCTCCAAACTTATATATTTTGTACACGTACTAAATATGTATCTTTTTTTGCCCTGTCCTAATAATTTTATAGTAGCCCCAATGACTCATCAAATCATGCATTTTAAAAATGAGTTCCTTTCTTTCCTTCAAGAATGCCTCACTACTTGTGCTTCGGGAATAAAACAAACTGGGAAAGTTTCCTGATTCACCCCCTTTTCCTTGCATACAAAACCTCTTTGCAGACTGCTTTCAAGATCTTTCCAAAGCTAAACAGACCCACAGTTCTAGCTGTGAGCAAAGAAGGCTCTTGCTGTGGGAAAGTTTCAGAAGACAGTTAGCAAAGGACTTAATTAAGCCAGTCATTCATCCCAGAACTGCTCTTTTTAACGGTGGATCTCTATATGCACCCACAGAGCCCGAATGGTGACAGTGTCCCTGGGAGCTTCTTTACAGGTGTTGGTAGCTCTGGACCAGTGGGTCCTAACATGGGGCACACGCCCCACGGGGGCAATTTGATTTTTAAGGGGGGAAATTCGAAAATAAGTTATTAACAGTGAATTTTTTGCGTTTCTTATGGTTCTAGGGGCCTCATATACAGTATACAGTCAGTCCTCAGGTTATGTCAGACTCGACGTACATCGTTTTGTGGTTACATCGCCATCTCTCATCTATACTAATAAAAGGGTAATATGCTAATTAGACTGGGTCGACTGGACATCTTCCAGTCATCCTTCTGGACAAAGCCATGGTAGCAGGGGCCGAGGCAGAGGCAGTTAGGGGCAATCAGGCTGGCAGGGGAGAGCAATTAGGGGTGATCAGGTCAGCAGGGGAAAGCAGAGGCGATCAGGCAGGCAGGCAGGTGAGCGGTTAGGAGCCAGTGGTCCCGGATTGCAAGAGGGATGTCCGACTGCCAGTTTAGACCCGATTCTGCAGGAGCAGTTGGACATCCCCTGAGGGGTCCTGGATTGGAGAGGGTGCAGGCCAGGCTGAAGGACCCCCTCCCCCATGCACGATTTCATGCACCAGGCCTCTAGTTTATTTATAAAAAACAAACAACAAAAAAACATTTCGACGTATGTACATATGTGCTTTATGTTTTTTATTATTTACCACAAGTAAAGGTCAGGAATTGTTATCTTTCTTTTAAATTTTTTTTTCTGTTTCACTTCATTACTGCTGTGTCTGTGCTCCATGTGAGTGATGTAGGTGCTTTGTAGGTGGGTTCCAACTTACGGCGAAAATCGCGTTACGTCGCGCCATAACGGATCTCCAAAGTAACCCAAGGACCTACTGTATAAGTATATATTGTGATTTATTTGTGCATTTCAGTTCTCTATTAAATGTTTTGAAAATTTGCTATTTTTTCATATCACTTCATATTACTATTTTTTAACAATTTCTTAGTGATTTCTTCCTCAGTACTTCACCCGTCCTTTCATTTTATTTTTCTCTTTCATGGATGCCATGCTCTTTGGAAGCTTGCTTAGACCAAATTAATTTTTAGGCTTTCTCCCCGTGAATAGCAGTTTACTTTTTTAATAATGAAAATTATATGTCACAGGGGGGCATCAGTATTTTAGAAATGCTTAGGTGGGGCATGGCCAAAAGAAGGTTGGGAACCACCACTCTAGACTGTTCTGAATGTTCCATCTATAGCAGTGGTTCTCAACCTTCCTATTGCCGCGACCCTCTAATACAGTTCCTCATGTTGTGGTGACCCCCAACCATAAAATTATTTTCGTTGCTACTTCATAACTGTAATTTTGCTACTGTAAACAATATGTAATTATATATGTGTTTTCCGATGGTCTTAGGCGACCCCTGTGAAAGGGTCGTTCGACCTCCAAAGGAGTCGCGACCCACAGGTTGAGAACCGCTGATCTATAGAATCCCTTCAGAAAGTCCCGTCACACTCCCGTGTCACTAATTCCTTACCTAGAAAGATGACCATGGTGACCCAGTTCCCGGCACATGGTCTCCGAGGTTGTACAATGGCGCTTATTCTAAACCACATTCTCATCTCCTCATCCATTCTCTCAACATGCTTACTGAGCACCCACCACTTAGCACTGTTGTGGGCATTGGGAGTCCAGTTCTGAAGACAGTGTGGCAAGGCAACTACTCAAATGGGGCAAAATAACAAAGAAATTACATTCTTCCTCCCTCTTTTCCAAACTGTTTTCTGTATATAGATTGCTGCCCCCAGAAGTAAAGAATATCAGGAATGGGTGATGAGAGGCAGCAGGTGGGAGGTATTTCATGAAACGTATAAACATGGGTCAGTGTTTCTACAGGCCAAGAGACTTTTTTCAAACCTCTTGGCAAAACCACAACAAAAATATAAAGCAAACTCTGGATGGATAAAAAGTTGTTTATTTTTATAAAACAAGTACAAATCATATTGAAATATAAATCCTCTTGAGCAGTGTTAATTATCACACAGTAATCCAAATGCGAATGAGCACTTCATTACATCTGACCATGCCGCATGTTAATCAGCCCTTCATGTCCTCAGCATCTTAACTAGTAGTCATCTTCATTTCACAGTTTTCTCTCAGTTTCCTTCACATTTACTAGTTACAACAACAACAAGATAAGCTGAGATGAGCGATTCTCTTTCCCTTATCATTCTTTAGGTTTCTCAAATTTCAAAGACCTACATACATTCACACGGGAGTACCCCAAAGCAACAAGATCTGCAATCCCCAACCCCTCCACCTCTGAGGAGTAAGGGGGCACGAACTGGCAGCAGATGAAGCCTATTCAGTGTCTGGTATGGAGCAGGTTGCTCGGGGCCACACTTTAAGAGCCAGCTGCTGCTTTTCTTTCCAGAGCTCGCTCCATGCCACTTTCTGCTAGGCTTTTCTAAAGTCAGCACTCCCCAGCACCCGACTTTGACCATAATTTTGTTGGAAAGAAACTAGCCAGCATTTTAGGGATTCTGATCACAGAAGAAAAAAAAGAGATAGAGATATTACTGTCAGATTATTTCCATGTCCAGCAAAACTCTAACCAAATGACAACCATTTTAAAAAGGTGCACTGTTAACCTGCCTTGGAACTGCATTTCACGGAGCAATGATGACTCTGTGGCCCCAAGCACTCTGCCGGTGTGGCCAGTGACCTGCACTTTCAAGAACCCTCATAAGGTTCTTATTCCCAGTGACCTCGATGAGCCGAAACTTCCACTGGCCTTAGGCCCTGACTTCACTAGCCCTGTACACTTTCCCACCAACAAAGCCAACCCATCACCACCGATCTAAGTAACATCATCAAACAAACAAACAAATAGCAAAGATATAAATAAATAATGCTTTCTTTCCCCCGTAAAAGCCCTCCATTAAAGAAATGCTACCTAATGTCTCTATGAGATGCACAATGGGGTATTTCATTCATTCACACCAGGATTTGCACGGAGGCAAAGAATAAATAAGTGACCTGCCCAAATGAGTTGGGCAGGGAGTAGCCACTTTCCATAAAAGAAAGCAGGAATTCTTGATTCCAAACTTCTCGTTCTAAGTTTACATTCTTGCTTTTCCTGGGTGAGGTTAGAGAATATCACACTCATTTTTTTGTTGTTGTTGCTCCTTCCTAGACTGGCCTTGTCATAATATGTTGTCCACAGATGGCGGTACCTTTTCCAGAGAAAAGAAAAAATAGTAACAGGACTAAAGGGGGGTGTGTCCAAAATGAAAAACTTTGACTCGTTACCCTGAGGCCACTACACACTTGGTCTTTAGTTCTAGTTTGCATGAAGCGTAGCAGACGTGCAGACGGAACTGCCGTCTCCCCCTAGTCCAGTGGAATTCCATCACAGCCGCTCGGCCCAGGACATTAATGCACAAAAGCCCTGACAAGGGGCATTTTCCCTGGCAGAGCAGAACCCATACAGCAGGACTGGGTCAGCCTGCCCACACCTCCTCCATCTCTCACCCAATCCCCCGCTCTGTGGATTCTGAGCAGAAGAGTGAACACAGCAGGCCTGAGCTGCTGTCCTTGGGAAGGCTGGCCCCTGGCGGGCATCTGGGAACACGGATTTGGGAAGAGCTCCATGAACCAACCAGCCTGGCTCACTGTACAAGCCACATGGTTTATGCTGAACACCGACTTCCCTTCTGGCAGTCGGGAGCTTTGCGACGTGCCAGCCAAAGGCTGCCTGCGTGGCCAGCCCCAGGGAAACCTGAGTCTCGAAGGAGCTTCCTTGGCAGGCTTGTCACACATATTGTCACAAACCATGGCTAGAGGAGTCAGACAGCCCGTGGGAGGCCACTGGGAGAGGACTCGGACGTTTGGGCCTGGGCTTCCCCTGGGTCTGCTCTGGCACCTTCCTCTTGCTGCTCTTTCCTGGTGCCCTTGCACTATGATAAATCAGAGCTATGAGTACAACTACATGCTGGGTCCAGGGAGTCCTCTCACCATATACCAAACCCAAACGTAGCCTTGGGGACCCCAACCTTGTTGGTACAGGGAGGCTGAACCAGTAACCCACCCCACAGCCACAGTTCTGCCCCTCACCCCACCTCCCCCACCCCCCTTTGGTTAAGTAAGCAGATGCCGTTCTCTGATCCAATGCTCAGAATGCCAAAGGCATGAGTCTCCCTAACAGGCACTCACTTTGTAGTAAATGGTGGGATTTATTTAAATTGCTACATGGAAAGCAGGGTAGTGTTTGTTGAAAAAGTCACCCCTCAAAGGAATAAGGACGAAGTAGCGCCCATCTTTTCGGGTTCCTCTCTGAGCTATATGAACATCCAGCTGCCCAGGAACTGCAGGACCACAGTCAGCACAAACCGGAAGGAATGTGGTTCTGATTTACCCAACGACTGACTAGCCTGCCTTCCTACGACTGCACCACAGCAGGAGTTAGGGTTTTAATACTGGTATGTGCTCCACTTGGACACTGACTGATTAGGGGAGCCCTTTTTCTGAAACCTACATTTGTTAGACAAGCATGGCTCCATAACAGCCCTATTTCCAGCCTGGGCCCCACGGCTAACACCCCACCCATCAGCCACGGTAGGCGTCGGCTAGTGCGCCTGGAGATGCCCAGGATGTTTCTGCTGCGGCTCCTCGCCCCGCCTGCCTCTCCAGGCATGGTACTTCTTGATGCTTTTTCTCCAGGCAAAGCGCCAGATGCTTAACATGAAACCCCAGGACACAGCGTACATGGCTATGCCCCCCGCCTTCATAAACCACCTGGGTTTGGGTGAGACCATTTCGCAGAAAAGGAGGCGAGCTCCTAAGCCGATCCTCACTCCAGTGAACAGGGCCACGAAGAGGAAGTCCGCCACGTCGCCAGTGAAGCTGTGGTAGTGCCCTGTTTCTCGGAGAAACCAGCGCAGCTGCAGCAAGGGGTTGGTAATCTCACTTCCAAAGAGGACTGCGTTGACTTCTGTCCCCGACTCTCCCAGCACCAGGGCCATGGTGATGCCCAGGATGCTCAGGGTGTGGTGTGCCAGCATCTGGGCACCCTCAGACTGGAAGTAGATGCACCAGCCCAAGTCGAAGATGAAGTAGCCCAAGGTGAGACACAGGACGCGCACTTGCAGAGGTGTATTGGGTGAGCCTAAAATAGACCAAGACAGAAACAAATTGAGCGGCTGGGGATTGTGCTGCCTCACACAGGGACCCTAGGTTACTGTCTCTCAATCCTTTTTAAAATATTGAAATAAAAAATAATAGTGCCCTGGCTGGTTTGGCTCAGTGGATAGAGCGTCGGCCTGCAGACTGAGTCTGGGGTTTGATTCTGGTCAAGGGCACATGCTTGGGTTGTGGGCTCGATCCCCAGTGGGGGGTGTGCAGGAGGCAGCCAATCAATGATTCTCTCTCAACATCGATGTTTCAATCTCTCCCTCTCCCTTCTCTGAAATCAATAAAAATATATTTTAAAAAAATATTAAAAAAAACAATGGTAATTACATGCTTTTAAAATGATAACCTAAGGAAGACTAAAATCTGAAAACTTGGTCTTTATCAAACCAAACAATGTTCCAGGCCCCAGAAATGCTGTTCTGATGAATCAGATCTCTCTCAAAGAGCACAATATTATCCTATATAATAAAAAGGTAATATGCAAATTGACCCTCACTCTGTCACACCATCACAAGATGGCTGCACCCACAGCGGAGGTGGGGTTCCCGTAAATGAGCGATCAGCAGGGACCTGAGGCTGCGCCCCCTGCCCAGTGGGGTTTGATGGGGGACCTCAGGCCACAACCCCCCTGCCCAGCAGGGCTTGACAGCGGACCTCAGGCTGCACCCCTTGCCCTGGAGCCAGGCGGGGGGACCTCAGGCCACGTCCCCGCCCTGGCTCTAGGCCAAGGGACCTGAGGCTGCACCCCCAGACCAGTGGGGCTTACAGGGGACCTCAGGCCACACCCCCTGCCTGGCAGGGCTTGAAGGGGGACCTCAGGCCATGACCCCCGCCCCAGTGCCAGACCAGGGGACCTGAGGGTGCACCAGGCGACCTGAGGCTGCTCCTCCCGCCTGGCATTGGGCCCAGGGACCCGAGGCTGCGACCCCCACCTGGCGGGGCTTGATGGGGGTGGGGCCAGCCAGGTTTGGATTTCACCCAATGGGTGGGGCCGGCCAGGTCTGGGTCTCGCGTGATTTAGAGGTGCACACGGGTGAGCAGGGACTTGACTCTAGGTCCCGCAGTGTGCCCCTGACTCTGACAGAAGGAAGATTTTCATAATTTTCTTGCATCTCTGACACTTTTTTACTAATTTTCTTTCATCTCTGAAACTTCTATTATAGAGAAAGGGCAAATAGCTATATTAAAATATTTCCTCTAATTCATTCCCTTTTAATGCAGACAAATTCCATGCACTGGGCCACTAGTGTAATAATTAAAAAGAAAAAGGAAGCTCTATATCCATATACATGGAAAGATGATATCTTTTGAATATACAATCAAGTAAAAATTGCAGGTTACCAATAAGTATGTATAATACTGCCCATTTGTGTCTGTTTTCGGGGGGGGAGGTTGGAAGATGTTGATACTGGCTTCTTGTTTTGTACATTTTGATGGATTACATTATAACAAGCATTTTATCATTAATGGGCAGATTTTAAGTGTGTTTTAAAGATAGAGAGTTATGAAAATCAGAAACAATAGGTGACATACAATATCACAGCTAACAATGAAGACTCCCAATAGAAATGATAATGGAAATTATTTTCAATATTCTTTTATATTATAGAAATTCTCTGGGGAAAAAGTCCTATCCTTCTAAGACTACCCCCAAATTATACATCCCTGAGGGAAAAACCCTGTCTCCCACCTACCTGGGTAGGTGAAAGGCCAGGGGCCATCAATGAAGCCAATGTACGCTGAGAGGCCTATCGCGAGGACTCCATGGGCGAGTGTGACCAGCCGGCAGCTCCATTCGTAGCTTCGGTGCTTATTCATGTGGCAGCAAGAAATGTAGAGGGAGAGCCAGCCTCCCAGGCTGCCCAGCACCTGCAGACACAGGGCTAATGCCATCCTCTGATGAAGAGACCGACACCAGAAACACAAAGGATGCACCTAAGAAAACAGCGCTGGGCTCACTTGAGTATAATTGTCATTTCTACAATAGCATAGTACAAAGATACTGCCTTCATGGAAGCCCTGCTTCCTTATATACACATCCAAGCATCTCCTATTTAAGTGTGGCTGGATTTCTGACTCTATGTTCCTCAAAGATAACATATTGGGCCTGGCAGGCGTGGTTCAGTGGTTGAGCATCAACCTATGAACCAGGAGGTCATGGTTTGATTCCTGGTCGGGGTGCACATGCCTAGGTTGTGGGTTTGATCCCCAGTTGGGGGCATGCAGGAGGCAGCCCATTAATGATTCTCTCTCATCACTGATGTTTCGATTTCTCTCCCTCTCCCTTCCTCTCTGAAATCAATAAAAAATATTTTAAAAGATAACATGTTGGCAACTGGTAAAAGCTGTAGACGGAACACCAGGAACTGCGTTGTGAGTTAGTAGACTGTCTACTGTAACACACTGTTACAATCAGTAAATGTCAGTAGTAACCTCCCAGTGATGACTGACCTTGGACAATAACATTGCATAATATCCTATACTAGAGGCCCGGTGCACAAAAATTTGTGCACTCAGGAGGGAGGGGGGGTCCCTCAGCCCGGCCTGTGCCCTCTCGCAGTCTGGGACCCCTCAGGGGATGACCACCTGCTGGCTTAGGCCTGCTCCCCGGGGGATTGGGCCTAAAATGGCAATCAGACATCCCTCTGGCAGCCCGGCAGCCCTCGGGAGATGACCACTTGCTAGCGGGGAGCAGGCTTAAGCTGGAGTCGGACATCCTTAGCGCTGCTGAGGAGGCAGGAGAGGCTCCCACCACCACCGCTGTACTGGCAGCCATCAGCCTGGCTTGAAGCTGAGCAGAGCTCTCCCATGTGAGAGCGCCCTGACCATCAGAGGGCAGCTCCTGCATTGAATGTCTGCCCCCTGGTGGTCAGTGTGTGTCATAGTGACCAGTCATTCCCAGTGGTTCTGCTGTTAGGGTCAGTTTGCATATTACCCTTTTACTATATAGGATAGAGGCCTGGTGCACGGGTGGGGGCCTGCTGGTTTGCCCTGAAGGGTGTCCCGGATCAGGGTGGGGGTCCCGCTAGGGTGCCTGGCCAGCCTGTATGAGGGGATGATGGCTGTTTGCAGCTGGTCACACCCCCTTCAGGGTGGGGGTCCCCACTGGGGTGCCTGGCCAGTCTGGGTGAGGGGCTGAAGGCTGTTTTCAGGCTGGTGGGTGACTGAAGCTCCCAACCTCTCCTTTTTTTCTTTTTTTTTTATTCTGGGATTTATTTACCTTCTATGGCTGGCACTGGTACTTAGAGCCGGCTTTAGCTCTGAGGCTTGGCTCCAGCTCTGAGGCCTCGGCTGCTGAAAGCAGGTATCTGGGGTTGTTTGGCTTCTATAACTGAAACACTGTTGCAACTCCAGCTCTGAGGCCCGGCTGGCTGAAAGCAGGTTTCTGGGGTTTGTTTAGCTTCTATAATTGCAACATTGTTTCTTAGAGTGCAGCTCAGAGGCTGGCAGCGGCAGACGGGGAACCTTGGCTTCCTCCATCACTGGAGCAAGCAAGCCTCCTGTTCGCTTCAGCTGCCTGGCTGCCAGCCGCCATCTTGGTTGGCAGTTAATTTGCATATCGCCCTGATTAGCCAATGGGAAGCGTGTCGGAGGTACGGTTAATTACCATGTTTGTCTATTATTAGATAGGATAATAAAAGCCCAGTGACCAAACAGTGGAACGACCAGAATGACCGGTTGACCAGTCGCTATGATGCACACTGACCACCAGGGGGCAGATGTTCAAGGCAGGAGCTGCCCCCTGGTGGTCAGTGTGCTACCACTGTGGGAGCGATGCTTGGCTGACCAGGATGAGCGGCTGCTCCCTCTGTGAACCCTGGGCTGACGGGCAGGAACCTGCGCTGCGGACGTTGCTTCCTCACCCCAGGCTTCTCCTTCTCACTCCCTGCCGCCTCCTCTGGACGCCTGCAGACCATGCAGTGCTGCTGCTGCTGGGCTCGTAGAGCTGACCCAGGAGGCTGGGAGGTGGGTTCGTGGCCGCCTCTCAGTGTTATCGTCCCTGGGCCCAGCCCTGACCAGGTCCCCTGCAGAGGTGAGTGCTCCAGCTCCCAGAAAATGCCAGACCAGGGTCCACAGCCGCTCAGCTGACTGCTCAGTGCTCCCACAGCAGGCTGATCCCCACAGGCCATGGCCCCACCAGTGCACAAATCCCGTGCACCAGGCCTCTAGTATGTAATATAAGACATGTATTAGAAAATGTGTTCACATCTCAAAAATCCCAATAAGAAGCTCTTATGGAAACACACCCCCACCACTTGTGGTCTCTACAAGAGCTCACAGGACACATGGCAGTTTAAAGTGGTTTTACGCTGATACTAAACTCAACTGAAATGTGGATGTGGGTTACAAGTTTATCAGTACAAATGGAAACCTGAGGTAACCCTAAATAAAGGACTAAACAGAGTGCAGGTATTTTGGTGAGGGGGAAAAAGTTCTAGGTCTATTCCATTCTGAAATCCAATCAAAGAGGGAAGCAAGGTTTTGAGGTACAATTGGGAAGTTTTTGTGGAGATATAAAAATATCTTTAAAAATATATATCTTGCCGAAACCGGTTTGGCTCAGTGGATAGAGCGTCGGCCTGCGGACTGAAAGGTCCCAGGTTCGATTCCGGCCAAGGGCATGTACCTTGGTTGCGGGCACATCCCCAGTGGGAGATGTGCAGGAGGCGGCTGATTGATGTTTCTCTCTCATCGATGTTTCTAACTCTCTATCTCTCTCCCTTCTTCTCTGTAAAGAATCAATAAAATATATTTTTAAAAAATTAAATAAAAAAATAAAAATATATATCTTTACAACAATCCTATATAAAAGAGAAACATGCAAATTAACTGTCCCTCCACCATGCTCACCAGCCAATCAGAGTGAGTATGCAAATTAACCTGACAAAGATGGAGGGCTAATTTGCACACACAGGCACTGGGCAGCCGGGGATGGGGCAGGTACTTCCCCCATGTTGCCATGGCGATGCGGGGGAAATTTCAGCCCCACGGCCGCTGGCGCATGCATGGGCACCAGGGAGATAGGGGCAGGGTGGTGCGCATGGATGCCAGGGAGCCTAGGTAAGGGTAGGAGCTTCCCCTGTGTCACCATGGTGATGTGGGGGAAGCTCCTGCCCCGCGGTCACTTGCACATGTGTGGG